TAGTCTAACAGTAAAGCACCATCTTTAAATGAGGTATCAAATAAATGACTTATAAGAATCAATAAACTATTGGCACAATTCTTTAGGAAAACATTTGGAATGACATCTAGATCAGTAGATGTGGTGGATTTAAGTTTTATCAGTGCTTTTCAACTGTAAAAGGAGATAAGTTAATAGACAACAGACAACAGTTGAATGTACGTTAACACGATCCATAAACTTTAGTGATAAACCATTATTGACTTGCAAAAAAGTTATTAAAAGTGCAAGATATTTCTTCTTTATATTGACAAAGGGCATTATCATATCAATGAATGTCATTGAGTTTACTTATGACATTTGTTGTACATTCAACTTTTTCCATTAACAAAATTAAAGAAACTACCATGGGTGTCTTTGCTTATCATCTTAAGTTCTTTTGCTGCCTGATACTTTCTATTGGAATCAGAAAATTGTGATGGGATTGATTATAAGCTGCTTTGTCATTAGGTTTACCTGTTATTTTTGATCTTTCTATGCAATTGCTTTGTCGTTTATCGACCATTTAACATAATGAGGAGAGTGTATTTTATGTGATGATTTATGCTCTTCACTGACTTGCACTTTAGGTACATGTTGTATAATAATGTTATTTATATAGTAGAAAAAGTATGCCAACAAGCTTCATGTTTGAAAAGATAATACATGTTTGAAATACATGAAATATATTTCATACATTGTATTACAAATACAATGAAATACAATGTTTGAAATACATGAAATACATGATAGATATATATATATATATATATATATATATATATATATATATATATATATATATATATATATATATATATATAATAAATAAATAAATATATATATATATATATATATATATATATATATATATATATATATATATATATATATATATATATATATACATATATATATATATATATATATATATATATATATATATATATATATATATATATATATATACATATATATATATATATATATATATATATATATATATATATATATATATATATATATATATATATATATATATATATATATATATATATATATATATATATATATATATATATATATATATATATATAATATATATATATATATATATATATATATATATATATACATATATATATATAGGCTTGGCCAGGAAGGCATGCGATTTCACATCATAATATGACCACGCAAATACTATTTGATTTTACTTAACTTGGTTGGACCATGGTTGCTAATATGTTTTGGAAATGTATATATAGGTTTCAAAAATGCGCTAGAAAAATTATCTCAACTTAAATATAATGAAACTTAAAAAAAACTTATAATTAAAGAAGCAAATAAATCTTCATAAAAAAAATAAAAAAAACAAAATATAAATAACTTAACATAAAAAACAAAATATAAATAACTTAACAAAAACTAAAATTGAAAAAATAAAATTAAAACTTGACTAAAATAAATAATAAACTATAACGATAAGGTTATCTAAATTACTTTTGGAATAAATAAATTTGAATTGTTTATCTTTACAAATGTTTTTTTAATATAATATTATTCAAAACCCTTTTTAAATAAAGTAACAACTTATAACTGATTGCTTAATAAACGCACATTTAAAAGTTTAAAAAAGATTCTAACAATTCTTCACATCAAAGTAAAAATAGTTAAATCACCGATTTAAAAAATTGGAATAATTTTTTTTAAATTTAAAGCTGTTTTTGCAAATTCCAGATTGCAACCTGTTATGTTCAATTTTGCAAATGAAAACAACACAATTTCCCATTTTTGTTTGGGTTAAAAACGATACAAACTGTCTTTGTGTTAAAAGATATACTAATTAAGTAGGCCTTGTCAATAAATGCATTCAATAATTTCTGTAGATTGAAACAAGATAGTGCTTCATATTATGCCATCAACATAAACAAGAATAGTTATCGCTCTTGTGTATTTATTCCTTTTCTTGTGTATTTTATATAAAGGAATATGGCCATGACTGCTTAAGCTTAAAGCTTAGCAAGGATAGAAAAAGTTTCAAAGAATTATGGAATTGAATGATAAGAAAAACAACAAGGCAGCTGAAAAAAACCCTCAAAAATAAAAACAAAATGTTTTTGTGGTGTTAAACATTGAATATACTGAAATACTTGAAGTGTTTCAGTGAGTTTGTGATCACAGTGAGCATATACTTTCTATACAATTTCAATAGTTAGAGGCCAAAATTTTAATGGCAGATACAATATATTTGCTTAAATTAGAATTGTTAAAGAACACCTCAAACGTAATGAATGAAAGATAGAAGAACATTGTGCAAACAGCTTATTTACCTATATACTAAACATAGTGTTAGTGGTTTTTGCTTGCTTATCTATATCTCCAACATAATGTCATCTGGTTACTAAATCATCAATTAATAATTTATAAGGTTTCAAAGACATACTTGGTATAAAGAAAAAAAATCTGCAGCTTGCACAATCATACTAATGTATATAAATTTGAACTCATAAATTTTAAAAAGCTAAAAGTATATGGTGCCAACATTTAATCTGAACTAAAAAGAAAAAACTGCATACAAACTACTGTATGCAGTTCTTTTAAGTCAAATATGGTTGCGGGCTAGGTATTCAAATTTTAGTTTCAAAAGTTTAATAAATTAGGTTCTAAAATGAGTGGGACTGATTGTGTTAACATTTTAGATGAAAATAGCAGTGCTTCTACAATTGCTTTGGGACGAATATCTGGTAACAAGAGAAAAACTCCAGACATACATCATGTATAACTTCTCAGTATTTTGAGACGAATTCCATCAACAAGGGTCACCACCTGGTCCTTACCTGGTCTCCACAATTGCCAGATCTAAGCCCAACCAAATTCTTAAGGTCAATTCTAGAAATTAAATTAAAAATTTGCTGTCCAGTATTAAAAAATAATTTTTAGCAATTATTTATTGTTTAATATATATATATATATATATATATATATATATATATATATATATATATATATATATATATATATATATATATATATATATATATATATATATATTTATATATATATATATATATATATATATATATATATATATATATATATATATATATATATATAAAGACGTGATTTTCAAGACTTTAAGTTTAATGTTATTGCAATCATCAGGTGAAATACAAAAATAGTTTATTCATTAAAAAATTATATTCAATTAGAAAAAAAACTACACACAAAAAAACTACATACAGAATACAGAAAAAAAAAATTAGTATTGTGTAACAATTGATTATTATTCAAATATTTTAAAAAAAAATTTTGTTAATTATTTTAAAACATGATTTTTAAAGTAATAAATAAAAATTAATACCTTAATTGCAACTTCCTTTCCATTCTCAACAGATCGAAGCCAAATAAAACCTTGGTGTATTTCTCTAAGAAAAGAATTTTTAAAGCAATTATTTCTCTAGACATTATAAGTTATATATACATATATGTATGTTCGGGTGGTCTAAATTTTACACATTATTTAAATGCAGACTCCAAAACCCTAAATGTGTTCTAAATAATAACATAATACTGGAGTTAAAAAGTCTTCAAAAAATATATACTTTTAGGGGTAGCAATAGTCTTTAAAACATCAGACAGGCCCCTAATACTATCAAGAAAAAAAGATCCTCAAAAGTATATCATGTTGGGTCTCAAAAGAAGTGAAATTTTATGTACTTTTAATTTTTTGTTAAAAAATAATAGTTTTTTCACCATAAAATTTAAATTAGTAATCTTTATATAAAATAATTATTATTTTTGAAATTTTTATGAAATTTCACTTCTTTTGAGACCCAACATAATATACTTTTTAAGGAACTTTTTTTTAAATACTAGAGGACTAACTGATGTTTTAGAGACTATTGCTACCCCTGAAAAATTTTTTTTTGAAGATTTTTTAACTCCAGTATTATATTATTATATAAAACACAATTAGGGTTGCGGAGTCTGCATTTTAAATAATGTGTAAAATTTGGACCACCCTAATGTGTGTGCATGTTTCTTTTGGACATGTGTATGTCTTTTCAAACATAAAATTATGAAAGAGATGTTACATGAAGAAGGAAGAGAATTTTCACTGTGATTTTATGTATAACTAAGTATAACCAAAAGTTTCACAAGCTCCTCTTTTTTTTACCCAAAAATAATTTTAGGGTTTTCATTCTACTAGGTAAGAAGCTATGAAATATGACAGTTAACATCAAAAAAGACAACTTGTTGTAAAAAAATTAACTCAGCTTCTTTTTGTTTTATGTAAATGAGAAAACAGTATTATGGAAACTCATCTAAACTGCAAAAGTGTGGAATCATGAGCATTTAAATTAGAAAAAAAAATCAACATACACAAAAAAAAACAAAATGGTCAAAAAAATAAATTTTCAAATTATCAATAACTATACCTAGCTTTTTTTAAATCTAAAACATGCAGAGCTTTTTTCGATTTAACTTCATAAGTGACATGTTCTTCATGAACTCCATTCTAAATAATAACTTGAAATTTTTAACATTTTAATTTGCTATTTCTTCTGTACAATAAAGTATGCAAACTGTCAACAATTACACTTTTTGTTTATCATTCTAATATAAAGATTTAACTCGTGAAAATGGATTGATATAGAAAAAGAGTTATCTCGACTACTATAAAATGCTGTTGTTGTTTTTTGTTTTGTTTTTTTCATCGGTCTAACAATGAACTATTCAAAACTATTTAAAACTAGATCCCATACCCTTATTAACTAATTATTTAAAAAAAAACTCTTATTATATTATTATTATTACTGCTATTATTATTATTATTGTTAAAGATATACATAAATCATATATAGCGATCCCCACCACGTCCCTAGCGGCCTTGTTCGTCAAGGTTCGTGTTTCAGAGTTATAGAGTAGAGAGAGGGTTATAACCACTATTAAATAGCCTCCTCGTCTGTAGTGGCCTTCTCGGCTTTGAGGAGGTGAATAACAAATTTAAAAAAAATATATATATGCATTAAAAAACAATTGTGGTAACAAAGGTGCTAACATAATGACTTTTAAAAGTCCTATTAAAAACCTATTACATGTCAATTAATTATAAAATGCTGCAACTCTATTAAGTCATATATATTTAAATATGAAAATTTGTTCCTTCTATTTATTTATAAATTTTTTTATAATTATTTATAATTAATATAATTAGTTAAAAATTATTATAAAGATATACAATATATAGCCATTGTAACCATAAATTGCTGTCTTCTTGTTAGAGAGATGGTAGATATCACTAAATAGGGGAAACTTATGAACAACAGAGAGAAGAAGTTTTCTTAAAAAAAATTAAAAAATCTAATTTAACAAAAGTAACTTAGTCTTACAAAGAACAAACAGGTCTAGTGAATTTTCCAAGAGGTAAGATATAACGGATGAAAGGTTACTTCAACAACCATAAACACTTTTCAAAAAAATATATTGAAAAAATTTGATTGCAATGTTTTTTGTTGTAATTGTTTTTTTATTAATACTTTAAAATACTTTCTTTATGTTTTAAAGAACTTAACTCAATCATTAAATTATTCAGTTGCCTTATTTATACTAATCAACTTAAAATTGTAACAATATTCTTCTGTGACAAAAGCACATCAAGAGTGTAAAAATAGGGACCTCATCCATGCCTAATATATCATTAATAATACACTAATACTTTACAGCTGTTGAGAGCTCTCAGAGAGCTAACAAATAGTTTAGAAAACTTGGCAACAAGTCTCAGAACCCTCAACCTGAGTTTTAGAGTTGTATTTATAATAGAAGGCAAAAAAGGAAACTCATTAGTAGTGTCAAGAAGATCAGCCTTTATCATCCTAGACAGGAAACAATATAACCCAGGTTTACATCTATACCAACTTGCTAGATTAAAAAGGAGTATAAGTTTTACCAGTATAAATTATCTAAAAAGCTTTTTATAGTACAGTAACCATATGCATTTTACACCTACCCAAGATGTGAAATGTGTAAATTTTTAAGACATTATCTTTTAGCATATACTTAACCAAGAACCAGAAGCAGACATTTTGAGTAAGAATAAACTTCTCCTAAAAGAGCAAATTTTCCAATGCAGCAGGGCATATTAGTTACTATATAAAATATCAGGAGCTATATAAAAATTTTAGAAAGCACCCAAAATATCAGATACTAAGCAAAATATTCAAAACTACACAAAAAAACAGTATAAACGTAACCATATAAAATAATACTAATTATACAAAAAATCAAAAATTATTAAGGAACTATAAAAAATAAATTATTTTCCCATTATTTTATGTAGTTCTTATTTTTTGTATATATATAATATATATATACATATATATATATATATATATATATATATATATATATATATATATATATATATATATATATATATATATATATATATATATATATATATATATATATATATATATATATATATATATATATATATGAATGTTATATGAAATTATACACAGTAAGCAACTGTTTATAAGGATTGCTTTGACAACAAATAATGCAACTATTAAGAAGCAAGATTTTTACTCAATGCAAAAATTTGCAAATTTTAATACACGGTAAAAATGGGTAACTTTAAACAACCACGGGAAACTTTGCAAAACAACATGTCTATGATTTTTTATATTCTAGCAATAAAAAAATTTATATGACAACTGCAAAATACTTTAGAGCTCAACTGTTTATTGAAAATTGTATATAATAATTTTAACAGAATTTCTGCAAACATATGTAATTTACTTGAACATAGAGATAACCGACAAAAATTATAATTTGAAAGTTTGATTTGATCAGAATTAAACCTAAAGGTAAATAAACTGCTTAAAACGTTTATCGTAGTATTGGTTTGAAGTATACTTTCCTATAAAGTCATTGTCTTTATTCATTTAAAAACAATACTTTTTCAAACTTGTAGTTAAAATTTTATATAAGGGTAAATATTACCTTAAATAACTAAATATTAACATAAATAACATAAATAAAAATGAAACAAATTTGACTGACAACCCCAGCTTAAAAAAATACTTAGTAAAAAGAGATAGAAGACATCCCACAAACATAAGAAATACTTTTAAAACAATTACTTATGATATCAAATAATGCAGCAAGTCTCTTCATTGTTTCTAAAGCAATTAATTTGTGGTCACTTTGGTATGCAGCAAATCTTTAAGGAGTCTGATCCCAGCAAACATTGTTTTTGTGGATTTGCAGTGGACTTATATACGCAATTTTGAGCGGTTTATTGGAGTTTTACTCATCAGTTACTTAGTGGACCGTTAGTGGTCACCTTATGGCACACATAACTTTAACTCTAGATGTAGCTTTCTTTAAACCTCTCAAAATAGCTTGGCATAAAATAATCACAGAACACTAAGACTCTTGATAAACAACGATTTCCTGAACTTTTAAATATGTGATTGATTGCTTGAGAGCGAAATCAGGCTAACAATTTATATCAGAATTTAGAAAGTATGGTGTTTATCGAATAAATGTCAATGAACTTTTAATAGAACTATGAGAAAAAGAATATAGAAATTTTATATTCTATTGTATCTAGTGGGATATGTTTTTTACTTTTTTGTTGTACTTTAAATATTCAATCAAATTAATTTATTTCCAATATGATAATTTTTTTTTCAATTTATTATTCAAATTTTGAATACAGTAATGGGGTTGTCAATTAATTAAAGTTGACGTCGACAATTTTTTTTTTTTTTATTTGAGTTTCTTTGCTTTAGTAACGGAAAATTTGGCTAAGTTAGAATAGCTAAGGTATCAAAAATTGACGTAATTTTATAGAGAAGGTCTCTGGAAATTTAACAAATTGTTGAGAAGGGGGTGGGGTAGAGGTAAAATTTTCAAAAAAATTGATGAGGTAATTAATGGACAGCCCCAATAGTAATTTTTTTTTGGTCGGGTGGGAGGAGGCAGGAGGGGGCGGGGGAAATTAGATCCTTCCATAGTAGAAACACCAATTGTTTACCCAGTGAGCACGGACAAAAAAAAGACGTCTTTTAAACGTCTTTTACACGTTTTAGACGTCTCTTAAACGTCTTTTGAACGTTTTGAACGTCTTTTGAACGTTCAAAAGACGTCTTTTTTAGGTCCGGTGCCCACTGGGTATTTAAGATCTTGTATAACATAATTTTATATTGTATAAAATTTTACTCTTTTTAGTAAAGATATAAATATTTATAAAATCGAGTCGTTTTTGATACTAGGGTGTATCAAACCATCACCACCACACCCACCTCTATTGCTAACATGCACCTCTCTTATATTTTGGTGCTTTGGTATAATTTAAAAAAAAAAAATTTGTATATTTATATTGCTTAAGTCTTAAAATTTTTCTGAAAAAAGTGTTCAGCTTCATTCGGAAAAGGTGGTAGTTTGGTGCCCTCTCTGTCTATCCGATACGCCCGGTAGTTAGAGTTTAACATAAAGTTGTAGCCCACTCTCACACCTAACCTTGACACCAAGATATTTGTATTACGATAAGAATTTACAAAGTTATGACAATTTAAGTGAAGAAAAACATTATTTTGACCACAGTTTTTTGAACAAATTCATATATAGAAAAATCGGTACGTAAACCGATTTTTTTATATATGAATTTGTTCTAAAAATCATTAGTTCAAACTTTTTAACTAATTGTTCAATTTTGATAATTTTTTCACCTTTAAAATACTATAATAATCCTCTTTGATATATAACACTAAAGTATTTAAACAATCTGAAATTTTTCTCACGTACCCATTAGAATAGAAAAAAATATGATATAGAAGCTCTTGAAAACTTTTTGTTCCAGCATGTAAAAGTATTAGCATTATTGCTTCAAAAAACCTTACAAATTGAAAAAGAACATAAGCAAGCTAGCAAAAAAGATAAAGAATAAGAAATCAATCTAAGAAAGTCGTACTTTAGCGCAAATAAAGAAAAAAGAGTTTACTATGTAGGGAACTTTACAAGTACCACAATTAGATTTTTATTGGGACTCATTATGTGTATCTTGTATTATATATATATTTTTTATTTTAAATTAAAATTACGTCAATTTTAAATTATTAAGTCCTTCAAAAATTGATTTTAAAAATCAATGCAGTTCGTAAAGTTTTTTATTTTTTGTAATGATGTGCAAAGTTAGCTTAACCCCCTGTTGACATTTTTTTTTTAATTCTTTTTTCATATCAAAACTTAAAATAACTGTTTAAAGTAGTTTTAAGATAGTTATAGAAAATTTTTGTCAAGTTTTTTATCAACATTAGAGGTATTTTAAACAAATTTTCAGAAACGAAAAGTGAAAATACGTTGAATTTTTGTGCAATGTTTTAGTGAGAGATCAAGGATTTTTTGATGATTGAGATAGCTAACTTCCGTAAATAGGGTTGCCAGACGTCCGTCTTTTACGACGGAGATTACAGAGTCAAACCTGTTAAAAGATTTTTTTTTTGTTTA